ATTCTGATTAAAATGGAAACACCAACTCAAGAAAATGAAAGGAAATGTAATGAAAGTCAATAAAAGTGCCATAAAAATCATCATTTAAAGTACTAGGATATGTTTTTTTTTTTTTAAACTGTTATGGCATGGAGAGATCTGCTATTGCATTCTGTGTAATAATGCATGTTCTTTGTTAGTTAAAATTTTACCCTATGTGCTTCTGAAAGAAAGTTTTAAAGCTGTGGTTTACTTTTAAGTTGAAAATCTTAGAAAACTAAATCTACAGAGAAAAATAAAAGTTGTTTCCACCTAGATACAATGAGGCACCTAAGAACAAAATATACTCATAAGCAAGTTATTATTTTTTTGACAGGCAGAGTGGACAGTGAGAGAGAGAGACAGAGAGAAAGGTCTTCCTTTGCCGTTGGTTCACCCTCCAATGGCCGCCGTGGCCAGCGCGCTGCGGCCGGCGCACTGCGCCTATCCGAAGGCAGGAGCCAGGTGCTTCTCCTGATCTCCCATGGGGTGCAGGGCCCAAGCACTTGGGCCATCCTCCACTGCGTTCCCTGGCCACAGCAGAGACCTGGCCTGGAAGAGAGGCAACCGGGACAGAATCCGGTGCCCCAACCGGGACTAGAACCCGGTGTGCTGGTGCCGCAAGGCAGAGGATTAGCCTACTGAGCCACAGCGCCGGCCCATAAGCAAATTATACTCCAACATTTTATGTACACTATCTCCATAACATTATTTAATCTACTGGGAAAGATAAAGTTAAATTATTTGCAAAGTCATCGATATCTTTGAAAGAACTATCTTTTTGATGTCTTCTAAGGAAATATGAAATTTGGGAGGACATGAGATTCAAGAATTTATATCCAGTGTGCTCAGATCATCGATCCATTCTCTGTATATCCCATAAGATTCTGCTCATGCAAGGGTAAAACCTGAAATCATTCCCAAGTCATCCTCCCTAGTTTTTAAGATTCAATCTATAACAAAGCTAGATTATTTTTATTTACCCCATAAATATTTATCAAATATCTCTTTACTTCTTTCTGCAACCACAAGAATAATTATCTCACAGTTTAGTTAATGAAATAGTTTATTCTTCCTTTTTCTTTAATTTATTCTGCACATCAAAAGCAAAAATGAATGTTTATAACAAACATGATCATATCAATTATTGAATTCTTACCATTGTTTTGTTTAAGTACATGAAAATTATTTCAACCAACACCAGAGTCATAGAGAGTAGGGAGAGGAGAGGAGCAGAGAGGGGAAGAAAAGAGAGAATAGGAGAGAAGAGACAGAGTGGGATAGAGAGAGAGAAAACAAAGAGAATAGAGAATGAATATAGAAGCACCAATTTCATTTGTATGTTTTTCTTCTTTGTAATGTATCTTTTATTATGTTAAAGAAATTAACATTTATTTTAATGGCTCATAAAGGTCTGAAATATCATTTTTGTTGCTTCTATTTGCTTTATAATTTTTAACATTAAATAATTGCTGATCTCTGCTATAGCCTGGAAAGCAGAGGAAAATGGCCCAAATCCTTGGGCCCCTGCACCTGTGTGGGAGACTAGACGAGGCTCCTGGCTCCTGGTTCCTGGCTGCAGATCTGCCCTTCTCCAGCCATTGTGGCCATTTGGGGAGTGAACTGGCAGATGAAGGACCTCTCTATCGCTCTGTCTCTGCCTCTCTGTAACTCTGCCTTTCAAATAAATAAATAATTTTTTTTAAAAAAGTTTGCTGATACTTTAAAATACAAGAAACAGCTTATAGAACAAAATCCTAGGCCATGAGTGATTGTTCAGGTCTCTCTTGGGTCAGATTCTCACATTACTCACTCTAGTTAAATGTAATTGTTTCCAACATAATCAGAAAGATTTGAATTCAGTTTGGGGTAGCTAAATTTTATATGTCTATGTATTAGGCAAGTAAACACACAGAAACTGGTTAACTGATGTATGAGTCAGAAGTCCTAGAAATAGATCACTGTCTAGAATTTGGCAGTCCTTTGAGAGCCAGATAATACTTAAAGCCATGAGTCTAAATGAGATCACCCAGGGAGAGAATGTAAAGGAAGTAGAGAAGAGGACCAAGGATGAAGTTCTGTGGTTTCCTAATGTAAGCAGATTGAAGAGAAGGGGAGGGCGTGGCAAAGGACACTGAAAGAACAAATCAGTGAGTCAGTAGTTTATCCAAGAGATGGAGATGCTCTGTATGTTCAGCAAAGAAGCAAAGACAATGAGACCCATTGTAATAGTTAAGTTCCGATATATAAAGTCATCAATAAAGTGAAGACCAAGAAAAGATCACACTCTTCAATAATAGAAGACGGGGATTCATTGATGATGTCCATAAGGAGTGGAATGCTCTTGCAAAAACTTGACTGTGAGGCCAGTGCTGTGGCGCAGCAGGTTAAACCCCAGCCTGCAGTGCCAGCATCCCATATGGGCACCGGTTCAAGTCCCAGCTTCTCCACTTGCAATCCAGCTCTCTGCTTGGCCTGGGAAAGCGGTAGAAGATGGCCCAAGTCCTTGGGCCCTTGCACCCACATGGGAGACCTGGAAGAAGCTCCTGGCTCTTGGCTTAACATCAGCTCAGCTCAGGCTGTTGTGGTCATTTGGGAAGTGAACCAGCAGATGGGAGACCTTTCTTTGTCTCTACCTTTCTGTGTAACTCTGCCTTTCGAATAAATAAAATATGTCTTTAAAAAACACTTGACTGGATTTTTTTTCTTAGAAATAATGAGATCATGAATAGAGTTGCA